CGAGATGCAGTCCCGGAAGCGGCCTGCTCGGTGAGATCCGGCGCGGTCGCCTCAGCGGTGTCTTAGCTTAAGCTAACGAAATACATCTAGCCTTAATGAATTAATCGCCTCGTTTTCTACGGAGAGTGTGAGATCAGTACTTTCCATCTTTGATTGTCCTTCAGAATTGTTTCGCAGCAATTGTCTATCTGGAAAAAGGCAGGCAGCGGCAACGAAGTTATCGCGATAGAACCCGGTCGTGTTTTCCCTTGTGCCCCGCGTGATCGCTGTCCAGAGAATTTCTACGATATAGAACCCCCGTTCTAAGCTAAGTTAGCAAAGTTGTTCTCTCCCGGCAGCGAACCGGCGAACCGGAAGTCGAGGAACGCCGCCGACAACGGCCGCGACCGTTTTCTTCTTTCGTTTTATCTAGTGTCTTTTTTTTTCTCCCGTTTCTTTTCTGCAAAACACGACGAACGCGCTGTCACGGACGCGATGCGCCGCAAAATCGCACGCACGATATACATGTATCATATATATAATATAATATAATATATACAGATCGCCGCGTTGCTTTTACACAAGGTTATTTCTTCTTCTTCTCTTTTTTTTTTAAATATATATATATATGTATATATGTATATATATACATCTAATATTGCTGTTCGGTTTCGCGAATGCCGTTGTGTGTACGCGGTTCAATTAGGTCATGTGTGTTCGCGACGTAACAAAGTTTAGAAACCCTGGCGAGTCGCATGCGCGTGATCGACGACCCCGGGATCCCGGATCGAGACGCGCGATCTCGATCGAGGCCGTCGCGGCCCCTCCCGAGAACCGGTGCGAAAGAATGTCGCCAACATCCTGGGGATAGATAGAAACAGAACGAATCGCAGAACTCGATGGAGGAAAAGCTTCTCGCGCGGTCTTTCGGTCTTTCGGGATGCAAATCGGGCTGCGCGCGGCTTAACGTCGAACCTACCGAGAGCCGCAAGCAACGCGAAATTTAATTGCTTATTCATCGAAACGCCTCGCCGTTTTTATTACAACGTTCCTCGCGCGCGAGTTAAGAAATTCATTCCGGCGTCTTCCGCGATGCCAACGATTTTCAAACAATAAAAAAAAAAAACGGCGAAACAGTTCCGACCGCGATCGGTAGGTTCAGCGTTGAGAAATACAAGTCGCAAAACGTGGTCTCTCGATCCATTACGAATGGAAAATAAAAGGCGGAGAGTCCGGGCTCGGGGGAACGGCGCCGCGACGTCCGCGGGACGCGACGTAAAAGCTCGCGAGACAGAACGGAGCTTTCTCGAGCGCGAACAAAGGCCCGTTCGTCCCCGCGAGACGCGGGAAACGCTTCCGAAGCGCGGCCAAATTGACTTCTAATTAATAGCGTACGGCGTGGTGACGGTTCGACACGTCCATCGGCAACGTCGCCGAGAATATTCTGCGGCAACACGGGCGCGTCAGATCCGTTTAAAAAAATAAAGCTGACTCCTAGGCATCTCCGGATTCTTGTGTCTTGCGTTCGCCGTTGTTGCCCGCAGAACGTCCGCCCCTTCGTTCTCGTCGACGACGCATCGAGATCGTCTGTTCGCTGCGCGCGAAGAATCCCGGGCCGCTTTCCGTTCCGAAAAGCTCGTGCCGGAATTTCTCTTCGGCGTGTGCTCGCGAACGGGGATGCGATGCGTTGGCGATGGCTGTCGAACCGGCCGTATGCTTGACTTCTCTTCGAGAAGACCGGTGAGAATACTTTCTGGGAAAGAGTACTCGAAGAAACGCGAGACGAGACTGTTCGCTCTGAGAGAACGTCCCGGGTTGTGTTCCCAGAGACACGGCTAAACAGGATCTTGTCGACAGGAGGAGAGATGAGAATTTCGGTTAAACCCGCGTTGATCGGCGCCCAGACCTGGCCACATTTCGTAATTGTATCGCACGTTAATTCGATTTCCATGGCGGTGATTATTTTTGAAATGTCACTTCGAATATAATACTTCGGGTAACATGCTAGTTTATTTTAGAATTATCTGAAATAATTATTCAACATGATTCTGACATTCTTCTTCCACTCGGCGTTATTCTTAGTACGATGCTGAATAGTTTCTAGCATCGCAGTTATGCCTGATGCAATTTAAAAAACAGTCTTTTTGTTTCATATTATATTTTGAGGATTGTTTTCTTTGTCATATATTCGAAATACGAGATAACAAAGTAATTCATTATGTGAAATATAAGATAAAGAAATCATAGATTATTTGAAACTGCAATTATTTCAAACGGATACGTATTATCATTATTTTTAAATAACGGTGGACAATGAAATATTTCAAAGAATTATTTCTTCTTTAAATTATTTCTTATTTCAAACAAAATTTGCCCAGGTCCGAGTAATAGCAACGCTACCGACAGACGACGTTTCCAATGATTTGCGCACCTGAAAACTAGACGAGGAGTCGAGGAGCTCTCTCAGGGTGAACGGTGGAAGAATTCTCCCTCGAAGCGAAGAACATCGACGAGATTCCGGCGGAATTTCAACGCTGTCAGAACCGAATCCGATCGCGCGCGGCAGTCAAACGGACGACAGTCGAAAGGCTACCGATCGACGTTGCCGAATAATCGCTTCAAGAATCGCGGGTAGATCCTCTTTTTCTGCAAAATCAGCCGAAGGTCACTTCCATCGCATTCTGTTCCCTGATCGCTTCAAATAGGGTTGGTGTGCAAGCTTGTGCCGGTACAAATTAATTTGGCTGGTCCGATACATGGTATTGTCGTCTCTTCAACATTAGGCTTACGGTGCCCTAAAGCGGCTATTTTATATCGCTTCGTAAAAATAAGAAGCGTATATTTATTTATAGTTCTAGCGATTTTTATCGTGACACATACATGTCCTATGAAACAAATTTGTTGAATAAATTCCCTCCAAACGTATCGTTATAATTGCAATAATCGTAAATTAAACAATCTGGAATTCGTCATCCGTAAACCTAATGGGCTAACACGAAACCTGCCGAGTCTTAAAATAAATTACGGTGTGCTGCTTTATAACGATGAAAAGAAATTAATTAGATTAAATTAAGAAATTTATTCGATCGTTTTCTATGGCAGAGTCTCTCTGACTTTAGCAACTTCAACCCCTTGAACTTGAACCCCTACTACGATATCGTGTCAGATTCGTTATATATCATTTTTCAAGTTAGAAAAACATTGATTTTTTCGCAGATACGACAAGCGATCGACGGAGTTTACGGCACAAACTCGCACGACAATCCGAAGAATCTGTATAAAATCGTTTCCACCATTTCCGCTTCACCGTTCTCTCCTCTTCCCTGTTCCTCCTCTTCGTAAAATTTCTCGCTTAAAATCTATTCGCGCCTCCACGACTCTAGCTCTGAGATTCCCCTAAGATGCGTGTAGATCTATGATTACGGTGTATGTATGTGTATGTATGTACGCATGTGTATTTATGTATGTTATTGTGTACGTGTGTCTGTCATCCGTGTAAACCCGTGTAAATTTCCCAGTCTTCGCGTATGTACGTTTCGCGTGTACGTGTTTGTTTGTGTCTGTGTGTGTGTTTCATCTGGCGTAGAACGCGAGTAGAATTTGGAAAAAACAGTTTCCATCGGTTTTTCACCTGCCCTCGCACACGTGGTTCGATGTCTCGAAGAAGCCGTCGCGCAAGCAATTGAAACTCGATAATAATTTCGACCGTTTTTTTTTCATTCGCCGATCGCATTATTAATATTTTTTTATCATTTTTTTTCCATCGTTTCTTTGTATTTTCTTTTTTTCTTGGCCATGCAAAAATATGCCAACTCGTTAGCAGCGGGAGCGTCTCGTCGGCACGAACGTCCCCTTAAACCCCCCACCCCCGCCCCCACCCCAAAACC